TGTTGTTAATGTGGTCTAAGATGTGTCTTTGTTGGGTAAGGGGGTGTGGGTGGAAGATGGGTTCCCAGTGTTGTTTTAGAGTTTGTGCTACTTCTGCTGGTTCTCTGATTCGTCTACCGTTAACTAGCAGATAATCGAAGGGAGGCCTAGCCGTCCCCCTCAGTTTGGCGATCCTTTGCCAGAACTCTCGGGGGTTGTAAGTTCTGTGTTCCTGGGCGGCCTCTACGAGTTTAGTCCAGTGAACCTCGTGGTCTTGAAGGAGGCTGTGGGTGATGTGTGTTCTTAGTGTGGTGATGTCTGCTTGTACTGGAGTGAGGTACTGTTTGTTTTGTTCAAATCGTCGCCTGTAGCAGTGTAGTAGGCGTTGGGTTCTTATGGAGGATATGAAGGAATGTTTCTTCTTGTACTGGTGTTTTGGTATGTGTGTGTCTGCTGTGGTGGTGAATGTGTTAAAGAGTTGTAACCAGGTTTCCTCTATCTTCCTTGTGGCTTGGTGTTCTAGGTTGAATGTGTATTGCTGTTCAGAGAGTGTGGTTCGAAGGCACCCCAGTCTGCACGTTGGTATTGGTATTGTGGTTTGGGTGTTGGGAGGAGGATGGGGTTATTGGAGAGGTGGAGTGTGATGGGAATGTGGTCTGAGCCTGACTGGGGGCTGGGAGAGATATAGTGTTGGAATTGGAGGACCAGTGTGTTTGTGATGACGATGTCGGGAGTGCCTCTGCCGCGAACAGTGTAACATGTAGGGAAGAAAGGACCAATGTGGTGAAGGTTTGTGTGTGTGACCAGTGTGTGTAGTTGTTGGCCGTGGTGGTCGGTGCGGTTGTGTTGGAAAACAGTGTGATGTGCATTGAGATCGGCCATTAGTATTACAGGTATGTGTGAGTTGTTAAAGATGGAGTTCAGGTCTGAGAAGGGGATGTATGTGTTTCGCCTTGAGTACGTTGTGCAAACGATTATCTGTCCGAGTTCAGTGTTAATCTTGTCGGCCATAAAGTGTTTGAAGGTAAAGTCGGTGATAAAATCGTGTTTGATAGAGGATCTGGATAGCTACGCCCTCGTGTAGTTCGTGGGGTTATTGTCTGCATGTGTAGCCGAAGTGTTTGATCATGGTGTTTGTGTATGTTGAGTTGAGGAGGAGAATGTCTGGGTTGTGTTCTTGGAGGAGGAGAGAAATAATGTGTTTGCTTGCAAGGTAACTGTCTGCTCTGCAGTTGAATTGCATTATGGAGATCATGTTTGTGCTTGTGTGTTTTGTTTGCGGTTTGTTTCTTAGATGTGGTTCTGGGGTGAGGAGGTGTTGCGTGTGGTGTCGAGTGAGTGAGAGCGTGTTCTGTGTGAGGTGGGTGAGGGGTGGGAGGTGACGTGGATGGGTGTGGGGGAGTAGGAGGAGGGGGAGTGTGGTCGGGGTTGTTTGGGTCAGGGTATAGCACTGCTATAGCAGTTTCCTGAATATCACTTTGGTTGTCGATTTTTTGTGGTCGCTTATGTTTAGGCCTAAAAGATCCTGATTGGATGGCCATAATTTCGAGAATCAGTTATTGATTAATCTCAATGGAAAGATTTGCAAACAAACACTTGATATGCTGTGTCATATATTTTTGTCTTTAGTTAACAATTTTTTTTTTATAATTTACTGTGGATTTATTTTAATGTTTGAGACAATAATTTTGTTTTTAATTTTTAGTTTCAGTACTTGAGTACAATGCTTTATTAATGAGATACTTTTTTACTTCTACTTGAGTGCATTGAACTTTGGATACTTTTACTTTTATTTGAGTACTTTTTTACAATTCTGGTTAAGTTAGGTTAATTTAGATTGGGTTAGGTTAGGTGAAGTGAGATTAGGTTAGCGTTGATTATATTATGTTCAGTGGCGTAGCTAGAGTGTGTGCCGCGCGGGGCGGCCCTTGAGTTTGCAGCCCCCCCCCGTGCCCCCACAAAAAATACATATTGCACAGTGACTCACTCTATATATATATATATATATATATATATATATATATATATATATATATATATATATATATATATATATATATATATATATATTAAATATATATTTATATATTAAATATATATTTATATATTAAATAGTTGGTGTACCATTATAATATTAATGTACTTTCACATACTCAAATATAGTATGCTTTAAATACACACCAAACATACTTAAACTTTATAAGTAACAGTTAAACAAAAAGCAAAAACGACATATAGGATAGGGAAAAAAAGTAAAAAGTGTAAAAAATTAGGACCATCTTTATTTCTGAAATGAAAACTACAACTTTCTACAAAGTAACTTTTCTTGTTTTTTTGCTGGCAAATTCTTCAATGACATTGTCAAAAACTATTTCATCTGTCAATTGTCGCTCTATAGACAGTATGGCAAGATTTCTCAACCGCAAGGTGCTCATAGTAGATCTTAAGTAATTCTTGATCAGTTTTAGTCTCGAAAAACTCCTCTCACAGGTAGCAACACTAACAGCAATTGTGAGGAAAATCCTCAGCATTATTATTATATTTGGAACCGAGTTCCCAAGGTCATACTTTTGAATAAACTGCAAAAGTTCAAGGGGGCCTTCTTTCCACGTCTGTATTCTGTCTTTAATAGTTATAGCAGCAACAGCAACAAAATGCTGAAGTCTTTTTCTCTCAACGAGGAACTCCTCTTTATCAATGTCGTCGTGATCGTGATCTATTTGACACTCATATTTATCATCCAAAAGATTCAATGGGGTAAGGAAGGCATATTTCTCAGCAAGTTCATGAAGCTGTTGAAATCTCAAAGTTATTTCTTGGATCACTCTGTCCAGCGAAGAAAACATTTCTCTCCTCAATTCAATGTCGTATGGCAATTCAGCATCTCGTGATCCTTCACTTTTGGGGGGCGGCACTTTTGGGTCTGCTCATCACCCATATCTGCAGCTACTGGAGACGTTAATCCTTCCCTTTGTATCGGCGGCAAGTTAATCCTCGTCGTGTCTGACCTAACACCTGACCCACACCACATGAGCTCACTGGCGTACTTGTTTGAAGTTGTTTCCTTAATCCTCAACAGGTTACAGGTTGTGTGTGTGGCGGGGGGGGGGCGCATAGCAAGGGTGTAGCTCATGACGTGGCCGTGATGATGTGGGTCAGGTGTTAGGTCAGACACGACAAGGATTAACTTGCCGCCGATACAAAGGGAAGGATTAACGTCTCCAGTAGCTGCAGATAGTGGGTCTAGCTACGCTAGTGATTATGTTAGATTAAGTTATCAATTTAGTGTTCAATTATCCGTAAAATAAGCTGAGAGCCTAATCTCCATTATTTTTATGCAGGGAATGGCCCACCCAGGCATAGGTCATCGACCAACAACATGGCCTAAGGAGAGAAAAAAAATAAAAGTAAAAAGAAGTTAAAAATAGAAAAGAAAAGATTATATTACTCTACACCGCGAAGATGCCGGAAAACTATCTTTTTAAAGTGAAACAGATTGTATGAGTAAAGGCCTGGGACTTAGGAATAGAAATCCCTTGCCAGCCTAATCAGGATCTTATAAGAGGAAATTCAAGAACCATAGTTTTCCGAGGGATAACAAACAACCGTTAGAGATTGACATCTCTTTACTATGAAAATAACAAAACTCTGACACCACTTACACAAATATCAAATAACAATTATGGGAGTCAAACAATTAAGAGAATCAAACAGTTAAGGGAGTCAAACAATTGGGGGGGTCAAACAATTAATGGAGTCAAACAATTAAGAGAATCAAACAATTAAGGGAGTCAAACAATTACGGGAGTCAAACAATTAAGAAAATCAAACAATGAACAGATATTTCCTACGGCGGCGGCCCTGTGGAAGGTTCTGGAAAGCAGTGATCCACTCTCAGGGGGAAGGTCAATTCAGCTTCCTCACTTGGCAAATGCAGGCGATGTCTTGCTACACAGGAGAACCACAGTGGCACAGACGGTGTGGAGGAAGTGGCGATGACGTGGCAGCCGCGGTAGTAGCTGGGGTAGGTGTCCGGAGATTGACAGTCGATTTGTGAAGGTCTGGGGAAACAGCCCACGAGTCCAGGACCTATGATGAGATCACAACCAGAATTTGAACGAACAGCGGGGTACATGTACAGCTGTGCTGACGGCTGGGTAGTGTCTGATCTGTGTGTCAAGGCAGCAGTGACGTTCTCACCTCCGTCTCCCCCAAGTGGGGGGACGCGAATAAGCAAGCAGGCGGCGAACAACCATCCTACTCATTATCGCCCTTACAATGAGTATGGAAACACAGAGTAAAAGTAGGGGGTGCTGGTGGTAGAGTGGTACCGCTCTTGCCTTCGCAAGCGAGATGTCACGGGTTCGATTCCCGGGCCAGTGGAAGTTGGTAAAGTAGGTACCTGGTGTAAATCGAAAGTTGTTGGAACTTCCAATAACTTGATGACATAAAATCATTGACTCTTCAGGCTTCTACGCCCTTAACTCATGAGACATAAAGGCAAGCATGAACTTAACATGCTTCCCTGTTGGGCACTGTAAACGCTTCTGCGCTTCACCTTACCCAAGGATGTAGGGGAGTGCCCAATAAATGATAAAAGAAAAGAAAAAAGTAAAAGTAAGAAGGCAGAACATTTCACAGTTTAGCTGTGTGAGGAAAGAAGGGTGTACTATAACGGGTTATTCTAGTGTGACTGACATCCACAGAGAAACGGTGGGCACTGCGGACAAGGCGAGTGTTAAGAGCCCATGGCCTTGCCGGCGGTACACATGATGCCAAATCCACCGAACATTGCTCGTTAAAGTACCTGTAAAAGAGAGAGAGTAAAGTAACATTACAGTAAGAGAAAAGGAAGAAAGATTATCAATTAAAGGAGGAGAGTCAATAAGACGAAATGCCTTTTATTCCACCCCATCTATTCAGATCCGTTAGGTTGGGTTAGATTAAGTTAGGTTAGGTTAGGTATTGTTTTTCAGTTTAAATGCTAGGATTTTTAGCAACTTTCCGTGTATTTATTCCAGATCCGTGATAGTGGGTGGCAGAAGGCATCCATGATTAACCTGGGGGGTGGCCTCAGTGTGTCTTACGAGCCACCCATTGATGGCGGCTACCACCAAGAAGAGACTATACCCACCTCGCTCATTAACCCTACTTCGCCTCTGTCGTCCAAAAAGAGAATTACACCGGAGACTACGAAAGGTACACCGAACTCGCTAATAACGAAGGAAACCACGCCAAACAAACCAAGAACCAAAGAAACCACTCCTAACTCATCAATGACCAGAGAGAACACGCAGAAATCGATCAGAGCCACACCTAGTTCTACAGTGACGGAGGCCACACCGACACCTCAAGAATTAGTCGAAACAATCCTGCCCTACTTACCTGAAGGGGCAACCTTAGTGCTGGAACCCGGCCGGTCCCTGGTGGCGACTGCCGGTACTGTAGTTCCGACCACAGCACATCTCGTGATCACTTGAAGATTAGACACCCCAGCTAATTTTACCAGATGATTAACTATCCTACTGTTAACCTAACCTAATCTAACTCACCCTACCTTACTTTAACCTAACAACGTAGCCAAACGTAAACTCACCAGGGTAGTCAACCATCGTGTGGAATAAGCTAGGGGCTAATCTTCAGGTAGTCTACGATTAGGAGGCAGAAAGTCAATGAAAGATGGTGAAAGTTTATCAATATTCTTTCGTTATTCCCACTGAAGTAATTACTCTTTTAATTCTATACTTTATCAATTAGTAATTGCATTTTATACTTTATCCATAGATTTAAAGAGCTTATAGAAAAAAAAGGAGAAAAATGGTGACGGGTGTGTTAAGAAAATCTTTGTTCCCTTAATGTAGGTGACAGGTTTGTTGTTGGTGGTGAGTGTATTGGTGATATAGGTTTAGTAATGGCGGATATGTTGCAGGTTTATGTTGATGAGTTTTGATAATGACAAGCTGGTTGACATGTGATGTTACAAACGTAGTGAGGTGCAGTGCTCACTGCACCTCACTACGTTGCAGATATATTGTTGACACGTGTATTAATAGATGTGTTAACGACAAGTATATTGCAGGTGTAGTGATGACGGAGGTAATGGGAGTTAAGACCAACGCTGGCCGGGAGTTCGTGGTGGTGGACGCTGCCATGACAGAGGTGATTCGTCCAGCCCTCTATGGAGTCCACCACCCAATCTGTTACGTCACCACACCCTCCGCCCACCAGGTGAGTCTCCCGGCCACCACCCTCAAGTCTCAAAAGCTGTATTGTTCTTTCTCTCCTATAATGGAGGTAATACTGTTTTTTTATTTGGGTATAAATATCATCAATTTTTATTATATACCACTTTTTCTTCACATTATCGTACTTCGTATTCGGATTTTTGTCTTATCGAGTTCGCTCATAAATGATGGGATAATTAATCAGTGCATTTCTCTTACCTTTCATAAACCCAACACTTTTTTCAGGTTATCTGTATTTTCTTGACGTTTATGTTTACGTCTTCATTCATTGGTGTTTGTTGTTTAAGCCTTTTTACATATTCATTGATTCGTTTGTTTACGTTGTTTTGTGTTTCTATATTAATTATTCTTTATTGGATATTGTTATTGTGTACGTGTTTTACTAAGTTTTAGTCGTTTATTCATTTTTTGAGGGGGATAACTCAAAAATTAGACTCTCCAGCTTATCTCACCTGATGATTATATACCTTAACGTTATCTGGAGGGTTGGATTGGTTAAATTAGATCAGGTTAGGTTAGCATTAGGGTAGTTGGGATAAATTAGTTTAGATTAAGTTATATTACATTATTTTGTTTAGACTAGATAAACTTAGATTAGGTTGAATTGGGTTATGTTAGAACATAAGAACATAAGAATGAAGGAAACTGCTGCGGGCCTATTGGCCCATACTGGGCAGCCCCACTTACACCCAACCCCTATCGCTCATATATCCATCCAACCTATGTTTGAAGCTATCAAGCGTCTTCGAGTCAATGATGATATTTGGTAGCTTGTTCTATTCATCCACTACTCTGTTTCCAAACCAATGTTTACCTATTTCGCGTCTAAATCTAAATTTGCCTAATTTAAACCATTGTTACGAGTTCGCTCCTGGTTCGATTAGTTTGAGTACCTTTGTTATGTCCCCTTTGCTTAGCCCTGCCTTCCATTTATACACCTCTATCATATTGCCCCTCACTCTACGTCTCTCGAGGGAGTGTAGATTAAGATGCTTTAATCTGTCTCTGTACTCGAGGTTCCTAATGCCCGGGATTAGTCTTGTCATTCTCCTCTGAATTCTTTCTAGGGATTCTATATCCGTTCTGTAATACTGTGACCAGAATTGAACTGCGTAATGCAAGTGAGGTCTCACAAGCGCAAGATATAGTTTCAGGATGACCTCTCTAGTTTTGTAACTAACTCTCCTTTGTATGAACCCAAGTACTTTATTAACCTTGTTTCGAGCAAATACACATTGCTTACTTGGCTTAAGATTCCTACTTATCATTACTCCTAAATCTTTCTCACATTCGGATATCTCTATAACATCGTTGTTCATCTGATATCTGGTTTCTCTGTTTACATCTCCTAGACTAATTACTTTACATTTGTCCACATTGAATTTCATTTGCCATTTTTTAAATCAGTCGAAAAATTTGTTTAGATCTTCCTGTAGTTTTGCCGAGTCCTCGTCAGATTTAATTACACGTCCTATTTTAGTGTCCTGAGCAAATTTACTTATGTTGTTGTCTTCGCCGATATCTATGTCGTTTATGTTTATAATTAATAATAATGGTCCAAGGACTGAGCCTTGGGTTACTCCACTTGTGACGTTACTCCAATAGGATTTAGTGCCGCTAATGCTCACTCGCTGTTTTCTGTCCTGTAACCACGCACTAATCCATTTTAGAATATCTCCTCCAAAGCCATGAGCCTCCACTTTTCTTATGAGTGTTTCGTGGGGGACTTTGTCGAAGGCTTTGCTAAAGTCAAGATATACCACATCATAGGTGTGCCCCTCGTCCACTAATTCGAAAACAGCTGAAAAGAATGTTAATAAATTAGTTAAACATGAGCGCCCGCTTGTGAAGCCATGTTGGGAATCATTGATCAACTTGTGCTTCTCCAGGTGATTTCGAATAGAGTTTGAAATAAGTGTTAACAGTATTTTTCCTGCAATTGGTGTTAAGCTGATTGGACGGTAGTTAGAAGATAGTGATCTATCTCCCTTCTTGCAAATCGGTATTACATTGGCTATCCTCCAGGATTCTGGTACTACACCCGTTTTTAAGGACATGTTAAACAAATTTGCTAAGGGCATACTAAGTTCTTCCTTACATTCCTTTAATACTCTGGCAAATATATCATCGGGATCTGGCGACTTATTAGGCTTTAACTTGTCTATTTGCTTACTAACTTCGTTGCCAGTCACTACTATCTCTCTTAATCTATCTCTTCACAATCTCTGTATGGAGTCGGTGCCTCGGGTATCATGTAAAAATTTTACCTTGGTGAAAACAGTAGAAAAATATTTATTCAGATTATTGCTCATTTCTCCGTCGTTATCAATTAGCTCGCCGGTATCTGACTGTATTGGTCCAATCTTTTCTTGTGTTTTAGTTTGATACATTTGAAAGAATCCCTTGGGGTTTGACTTCGCCTCCCTTGCTACCTTCATTTCATTATTCCTCTTTGCTTTTCTTATCTCTGTCTTAACCCTACTGGCCAATACCTTATAATAATCTCGGAGGTAAACTTCACCACGATTTATTCTTCTACCTATAGCCTTCCTTTGTCCAATAATATTCTTTAAGTAATTGTTTATCCATTTAGGGTCTTTGTTGTCTGATCTGAGATTTCTGTATGGTATGTTCTGCCTTTGTTCATTAAGTAACTCATTATTTAAATTGCTGTGGAACTCCTCAACCTCAGATCTCGTAATCAGGTCATCCTCAACCGTCATATTTTGTGAGGATATCGTTGTCAGGTCCCCAGATAACATGAGCTCGCCCTCTGTGGGTACATTGTGTGAGGTCACCGCACGTGAGGTAATGTAATCCATCCACAAACGTGATACCCCCTCTCTCAGCTGCCTTTTAACCTATCAAAGTTTGCCCTTCTGAAATCTGGGACATTAATGAAATTTTCCTTGCCACTGCCATTTAATTCTAATTGAAATTTTATATCTTTGTGATCGCTGTTGGCAAGTTCGTTCCCTACCTCGACATTACTAATGGGGTTTTCTCTGTTTGACATAACTAAATCGAGTATATTATTACCCTGGGTGGTTTCGGTTATATGTTGACTTAGGAAACAGTCCTGAATTGTGTCAAGAAAATCCTCTGATTCTGAGTTACCTGTAAGGTCGATCCAATCTATTTGGCTAAACTTAAAGTCGTCTACTATTCAGACTTTGCTCTGTCTGGAAGCCCTGAGCACTTCATCCCAAATAAGTCGTGCATTAACTCTATCAAGATTAGGAGGTCTATATATTAAATTCTGCGATTATTTTTCTCTACCATTGATTAATTCTATCCAAATACTTTCTGTATTCAGTTCAGTTTTTTATTTGCTTATTTATTTCACACTTCAGATTATCCATGACATAGATTGCTACTCCGCCTCTGTCCCTAATCTGCCTATCGGTATAGAATAATTTATATCCCGTAATTTGGTATTCGGCAGGTAACTCTCGTGAGTCTAAGTTTATTCATGTTTTGGTGAATGCTACTATATCGATTTTTTCGGGACATACCAACGCTCTGATTTCATGCATTTAGTTTCTCATACTCCTACTGTTTGAGTAGTAGACATTTAAGTCAGTCGTCTTCTGAGTCCTCTGTTTGATGCATTTTGGTTTTAACTCCCTGCCTAATTTAGTTTTGTCATCATTCCTAGCATTATTTCCCTGTAACCTTTCACCCTGTTTACCCGCTCCCACTGCAGTCTCCTCCACCTCCGTGCCCATATGTTCCCTAGCAGTTTAAAGACTTCACCAGCCAGGTGAAATAAGCCGTGGTGTTTAATCTTCAGGTGATTTTTTCTGGTTATGTATGTATTCTATGAGTAAGCACACAAAGAAAGAAGGTTACCCACTTGCCGGTTTCCAGCGCCGACCAGCGCCAGCAGTCAATGCTAGTAGGCTGACACAGAGGATGCAGGTTTATCTGCAAGATGCGAATTGTTGTCCAGCTGTCGTGCAGTAAAGATGTCTTGCTCGTCGTCTGACGAAGTTTTTTTTTTCGATAGTCCTTCTGTAACAATATAGAGGAAAAGAACTGAAATACGTGAAATCAATTGCAGTAGAAAAAATTACGCTGAATATCACCATCTTTTTAGTGAGTTGAAAATGGACCCAAAAAGGCTATTTTCAATACATGAGAATGATTTGAGAAACTTTTGACAACATTTTGAAGAAGGTTGAACATCGTTTGACGAAAACATGGTCTAACTGGCACACCTCGCACAACTAGCACTGCTTCAACAACCCGTCCACCCGTGCTGGCAAGCGAGAAAACACTGTTTTGTCCATTCTGGTAAACTTGTCAGTGCAGGCAACCAGCGCCGACAGGCTTCAACATGCTTCTACTCTGTGTGGCCGCTCATCATAGCATGGTCACATTCATGACGCTTGTCAGCGCCAGTCGGCGTTGGTAACCTGCTTTCTTTGTTCTCTTATCCTATCACGTGACTCCCTTGTGTTGTGACCCATCAGGAGGTGGCGGAGGTGGACGTGGTGGGACCCGTGTGTGAGAGTGGTGACTTCCTGGCCCGCCGATGCTTCCTCCCTCGTCCCAGCGCCTCAGGAGATGCCCTTGTGGTGTGGGCGGCCGGGGCCTACTGTGCCTCCATGGCCTCTAATTACAACCTCCGCCCACATGCCCTCGAGGTTTTAGTTCATAGCCCAGACAGCTATAAGGTGCTCCGACGTCCTCAGGAGTTCGAAGACCTCGTCAGGGAGTTCCTCTGATGGGTGTAAAGCTGTTTTTTTTTGGGGGGGGAGGGGGGTTAGTTCAGGGGTGTTACTGGTTGATCCAGTGTAAGTCACGGCTCTTGCTGATTGGTCCACTGCAGATCAAGGTTCATGCTTGTAGTATCTTGCCTTATTTAATGGGAGAATTTCAAGCACATACATATATATATAACAATGCTGATTGGTCCAGTGCAGATCAAGGCTTTTGCTGATTGGTTCATTGCAGCTCAGAGCCCTTGATGATTGGTCCAGGACTGGGATAAGACGCTCTCCTGTAGATGATTGGTTTTTCAGGATACAGTGATGGGTGATTGGCTAAGCTGATACACAGTACAAGATCGCCCATAAACAAAGATTCTGTAACAATAGATCACTGATAGTACTATAAGATTTGGTCTTAATTACTTTAGCTTAAATATACTTATATTTCCATTGTTAACATTGTTTTACATTAAATGTAGACCGGGTTGTTGTTTATTTGATTAAAGTAACACTTGTATGGCATAAATATAATACAAGTATACTGTGTAATTGTGTCTATGTGTATGTATGTGTGACAGGGTTGGATTAACCATTAAGCAAAATAAGCACGTGCTTAGGGCACCAAAAGAAGGAGGCACCACAGGTTTTTATTCTAAAGGTATTATGCCTTGTAGTTACCAGATCATATTTGCGATAAAACGTAATAGGCTAGTGTAAAAACCGCCGTAGAAAATGGGTGAAAAATATTTATCCCATTTTGTTTAACTATGCTTTGTAAGGGTTTTAAAACAAGAAAACCGTGCCCTTTTTTGGTTTTTTAAAGGACACGTTGCCCAATGGAAAACGGCCTTATTTTATAAGCGTTCAAGAACGTTCCTGAACGTCCGAAATTGTCTAAGTTCGTTCCCTGGCCTCTCAGCCCTCACTCAGGCTCTTGCAGTATCAACGAAATGTGTATTTTCACGTGTGGTGTGATGTGGATTGTGTAAAGTAACAAGTAAGTTCCTGAATTTCTCATTAATTAAATTTTTTATGTTTACAAAATAAAGAGGTAGATATTTTAACTATATAAATATATTGTTACTAAATTAAGAGCAGTAACTCTAGGCCTAGTTGTTATAATAAATAAGGTTAAATCAAAACTGTCTAATTTAAGTGATTTTTTAATTATCATATGTTGAAAAACTTCAACACTTTTTTTATTTCTTAATTGTCTTTAACTGTATTCGTTCTAGTTCTAGTCTAACATCAGTGATGAGAAAATGGGCAACTTATTGAGCCCTTTTTAACATTTCTAGAACTAGCAAGCCATACTGGTGAGGAAATGGCAAACCAGGTGTTGCAGTACTTAGGTCATGTTTGAAAAACTAAATTTTTCAAAATGTAGGGGTCAGTCCTACGACAATGCTGCTACCATGTCTGGGCGTTATAGGGTTGTGCAGCAAAAAAATTTAGAAGAAAATAAGTTTGCCATATATGTGCCATGTGCAGCCCATTCACTAAATCTGGTAGGCCGAAGTGCTGTTGACTGCTGTCAAGTGGCAGTTAATTGTTTCTCAACAGTACAGTTGCTCTATACATTTTTTTCAACCTCAACCAGCCGGCGGAAAATTCTTAAAGTTAGTCTTGGAAATGAAAGCGTGTTAAAATCCCTTTCTGATACCAGATAGGAGGCACATGCTGTGGCAGCAGCAGCAACTCTTAAGTCTTTCTTTAAGATATTGGAAGCCTTAGAAAGTCTAGCAGAAGACTAATCACAAAAAGGAGACACTAGAAGAGAAGCAGACAATATTACAAATAAGATGCAAGAGCTAGAATTTGTTTTAATGTTGATCATATGGGACGAGATTTTGCAAAAGTTTCATAGACCGAGTAAAGTTCTACAAAGTGAGGACATGAACTTGAAAACATGTGTAGATCTGTATGCGTCATTAACTGACCAACTCTGCATTTTACGAGATGACTTTGAAAGATTTGAATCACTCGCGAAGGAAATCCTAACAGATGGAGATTATAAATGCAGGGCAAACTCGCAAGCGTATCAGAAAGTAGGTACCCAATGACGGAGATGCAATAGAAGTAAATCTGAACCCCAGAGATAAATTTCGTATCACCACCTTTTACACAATTGTTGACAAACTCGAAACCCAGATGAGAAGAGGAGGAGAGGTGTACACAGAAATAGCGGACAGATTTTCTTTTCTAAGTGATGTACCAAATGTTGTATCATCATCTACTGAAACTAAGAGGCATGTTCAGTGTTCTCAAAGGCTAATTGATGCTTACCCAGAGGACTTGGACATTAATTTCTCTACTGAGCTTCAGCAGTTTCACTCATATGTGCGCCATAAGTTCAGTGCAACTGAAACTGTAAAAACCGGATTCAGTCACGCTGAACTTTATAAAATAATTTTAGAAGACAAACTTGAATGTGCTTTTCCAAATGTAGAAATTGCATTTCGTATTTTTTAACATTTATGCTCACAAATTGCACAGCTGAGCGTTCGTTTTCTCAGCTGAAGCAGATTAAAAATCATACAGAACAACTATGCGACAAGAAAGGTTGGATGCCTTGTCTCTGCTAAGCATAGAAGCAGATTTGCTACGGCAGATTAGTTTTGAGGACTTGATCAAAGACTTTGCAATTAAAAAAAGTAGGGTCACAAATAGTTAAAGCATAAGTAAATTTATAAGTATTATTAGGCGATTTTAATCCATGTACATGCAATATGTTAAAAGTTTGTATTTTAATTTTCTCTCTTATAACAATTTATTAAAAAATAATAAAAAGTGTTGAAAATGTGCATTTTTTATGTTTCCCTGGATCCTGGTTATAAGTTGATAATTTGCTTATATTGCTTACTGCTACTTAGTGTAAAATAAATAAAACCCGCTTATATTTAAAACAATTGTAGGATCTGGCTTGTGGAATGGCCTGGAAGAAACCTGATTTCTTCATCTCATATTTCAGCATCAGTATTCATTGAGTCTTAATCATGGTCTTAATATATTGTCAGTTAAGCAATGGGAGGACCGAGGGGGCACCATTGTTGACAGTGCTTAGGGCATCAATTGGCCTTAATCCGGCCTTGATATTGTGTGCATGTGCGCATGTGTTGGGTGCAGACATGGGGCAAAAGCCGGCTTCGGCTTCTAGAAGCCAGGTTTTTGGCTTCTGCTTCGAAGAAATGGCTGTTTAGATTCAATGCCACAAAGAGTAAGAGGATGCACCTACCTGTAGGTCGTACCCACAGTAAGGAGGAGTATCGCATGTCCCAACGGGACGAAGAAACTGCATTAGGAACCAAACGGACTGCGAAGAGCTACAAAAGATCTCTCTCACTTTTAAGTGTGGTCAGAAGAATGACCTTTATAATTCAGCGTCACGAAATCCAAAAGGGGGCTATGATCTTGGGCACCCCAAGGGGTGGCTGGTGGTTCGAGGCCTGGGGCGTCCCCAGGGTGACTAGATTACGCTACAATTTGGGTCTGTCAAAAAGAACCCTTAAAACTGTAATTAGGAAAGAACTTGTTGACGAATTTGACGCAAGTAGACAAGTGCAAACAGGCCCTAGTCGATCCATAGTTTACCATGATGAGATGTATCAAGTGAAACATGTATATGGAGCAAGTAACAAGATCACTAGATTACAAGATGTTGTAACCACTAGACTAAGGTTAGGATATAAGTACCTCTGGCAGTATGTTCCTCAAGCAGATGTAAACAAGACTAAATGTAAAGTGTGTGGCCAGACATATGGCCACACACTTGAACACTACGTCCTCGACTGTGTGAAGATAGAACCTTTTAAGGACAGGTCTAAGCACACTGTGTGTGAAATGGCACAACACTTCATCTCTAATGGCAAGATAGCCGACATATTAAGATTGTATCCACTTTTTTGCTCTTAGTAACTATATCAGTTCTCATGTATAGAACCAAATACACAATGTGCTTGAATACTTCTCACGCAAATGTGAATAACAAAGTGTGCGGCCAGACATATTGCCTCACACGCCTGTACTCACTCAGTTGTGAATAAGTTACCCTTTATGTATCGAACTAAACAAATAATGTAATTGAAATACTGTGTAACATTCAGTGCCATAATATTCTGACCACGGGGGTGAATTATTATGACCAGTTGTAAACTCTACTCTGTAATCCTTTTGCGCTTCCGCTCACAGGATGAGTGTGGGGTGCACAATAAAGTAGCCTCTGTAAGCAGCAAAATAAATCAAATCAAATTACGCTTCCAGTTGCGGTTCAAGGTCTACGGCGGCAGTAGGTCAAGGCTTCCCCTCGCTAGTCCTTTATGTCCCCCTCCTTAATCGATGTGTCCCCCAGTCTAGATCTTTGTATCACTCCACCCATGCTTCACCCACACCACCCATACCTCAGTCACACCACCCATCCTTCAGTCACAGCACCCGTATCTCAGTCACACAACCCATGCTTCACTCACACCACCCATACCTCAGTCACACCACCTATGCTTCAATCAAAAAACCCGTACCTTAGTCACACCATCTATGCTTCAATCACACCACCCATACCTCAGTCACACCACCCATGCTTCACTCACACCACCCATACTTCAGTCACACCACCTATGCTTCAATCACACCACCCATACCACAGTCACACCACCTATGCTTCAATCACACCACCGATACCACAGTCTTACCACCTATGCTTCCATCACACCACCCATACCTCAATCACACCACCTATGCTTCAATCACGCCAACCATACCTCAGTCACACCACCTATGCTTCAATCACACCACCCATACCTCAGTCACACCACCTATGCTTCAATCACGCCAAGCATACTTCAATCACACCAACCCATAGCCTCAGTCACACCACCTATGATTTCAATCACACCACCCATACCCCAGTCACGCCACGTACCTGTATGCTTCAATCACACCACCCATACCCCAGTCACATTACCACTGCTTCAATCACACCACCCATACCTCAGTCACACCAGCTATGCTTCAATCATACCACCCATTCCCCAGTCACACCACCCATACTTCAGTCCCACCACATATGCTTCAATCACACCACCCATGCTCCAATCACCACCACCACTCATGCTTCAATCACACCGCTCATGTTTCAATCACACCACCCATGCTTCAATAACACTTCAATCACACCAATAACACTTCAATCACAACACTCATGCTTCAATCACACCACTCATGCTTCGGTCATACCACCCATGCTCCAGTCACACCAATCATGCTTCGACCACTCATGCTTCAATCACACTAACAATGCTTCATTCACACCACCCATTCTTAATTCACACCACCTATGCTTCAGTCAAACCACTCATGATTGTCACACCACTCATACCTCAGCATAAACCCATACCTCAGTCACACCACCCATACCTCAATCACACCACCCATACCTTAATCACACCACCCATGCTTCAGTCACACCACCCATAACTCAGTCACACCACCCACGCTTCAGTCATACCACCCATACCTCAATCACACCACCCATACCTTAATCACACCACCTATGCTTCAGTCGCACCACTCATACCTCAATCACACCACCCATACCTTAATCACACCACCCATGCTTCAGTCACACCACCCATAACTCAGTCACACCACCCACACTTCAGTCACACCACCCATACCTCAATCACACCACCCATACCTTAATCACACCACCCATGCTTCAGTCACACCACCCATAACTCAGTCACACCACCCACGCTTCAGTCACACCACCCATACCTCAATCACACCACCCATACCTTAATCACACCACCCATGCTTCAGTCACACCACCCATACCTCTGTAATGAGGGTAAACACAATGAGAAGAAGAATATAAATATAGGAAGGAGTAGAGAGAGTAGGAATGTAAAGATAGGAAACTTGGTAGCGTGGCCTGGATGTTATTTGCACAGCGTCACTACGCTTATCTTATCTCGTATGTCAATACACATATATTACTTCTTAAAGGGACAACTTGTTAAACACCTCTTGATACAACTATTTATTACTTCACTCAATGACATGGACACATTAATATCACTATTATATCGGGGTACTAACACATCATGCTTTACGTTACTTGACACTGACTCTCGGACACACCTGAATGAATACACTTCCCACAGTAGGTAACTCACCCTAGGACGTTCTGACAAGACTCACGTGTACCCTGACGTAGGCCCAGTGAGTGCTGGCTGGGCTGCCTCCTATGAGAGGCTTCTGCTTAGCTGGGGTCTGGTCGGGAAGTCCCCTTCCCGACCTGGGGAGAGGGTGAGCTTGACTCTGAGAAGTGAACCGAGTGACGACCCGAACGGGAGAGAGATGACAGCAACCAGAATGAGAATCGTAATGGAATCCCGAATGGAATCTCGAATGCCGAAATGGAATATTGAATGCCCGTGGACGGGACTGTAGGGCCTTTATATGGGGTCGGCCCAGCCGGCTTCTGACCTCTAACAATTAACACTAAACTGGTTTGATCTGGATAATTGTGTGCAGGTGTGGTCCTGGCCAGGTGTCTTGGCTAGGTGCGGTTGTAGGTCACCGGCTCACGTCATTAGCGGGCAAGGTCAAGTCCCTAGGGTCGACCTGAGGTGTGTCAACCTGGAATGCGGTGGTACCACGAGGTCTGTGGTGTACTTGCTGTTATATGTGACATAATTCTGGGCTGTAAGGTTTGGTCTGACAATCACTCATTACACCTCAATCACACCACCCATACCTTAATCACACCACCCATGCTTCAGTCACACCACCCATAACTCAGTCACACCACCCACACTTCAGTCACACCACCCATACCTCAATCACACCACCCATACCTTAATCACACCACCCATGCTTCAGTCACACCACCCATAACACAGTCACACCACCTGTGCTTCATTCAAAAAACCCGTACCTTAGTCACACCACCCATGTCTCAGTCACACCACCCATACCTCAGTCACACCGCCCACGCTTCAGTCACACCAACCATACATCAATCACACCAGCTATGTTTCAGTCACACCACTCCTGCTTCAATCACACCACCAATGGTTCAGTCATACCACTAATGCTTCAGTCACACCAACCATGCTTCACTCACACCACTCATGCTTCAGTCACACCACTCGTATCGTAGTCATACCGCCCATGCTTCAGTCACACCACCCATGCTTCAGTCACGCCACTCATGTTTCAGTTACACCACCCAAGATATAGTCACACCACCCATTCCTCAGTAACACCACCCATTCCTCAGTCACACCACTCAGGCTTCAGTCACACCACCAATTCCTCAGTCAAACCACCCAGGCTTCAGTCACACCACTTATGCTTCAGTGACACCACCCATCCTTCAGTCACACCACTCATGCTTCAATCGCACCACCCATGTTTTATTCCACCACTCATGCTTCAGTCACACCAACAATGCTTCAGTCACACCACTCATGCTTCAGTTACACCTCTCATGCTTCAGCCACACCACTCATGCTTCAGTCACACCACCCATGCCTTAGTCACACCACCTCTCAGTCACACCCTCCATACCTCAATCACACCACCTATGCTTTTGTCACAACCACCCAGGCCTCAGTCACACCACTAATGCCTCAATCACGCCACCTACGCTTCACTCACACCATCCATACTTCAGTCACACCACTCATGCTTCAATCACACCACCCGTTTCTCATTCACACTACCTATGCTTCAGTAACACCCCCCATGCCCTACCCACACCACTCATACCT